TGTGAATCATAAGTGATATAAAAAAAAATTAATAATATTTTTGGGCTTGAATAAATATGAAAACACATTTAATAAGTCATTTTATATAGATTTATATAACTATCTATAAATTGGGAGATTTTGAAAAATATGTTGTGGAATATTAAGATATTTTTTCATGTTTGAATATATTATTTTCTTTTTTGTAGCAGAAAATATATTCTTTTCATATAAAAATATTTGATGTTTGTACAACGAATTTTTTATAACTTCTGTGTTTTGTTAAATACTATTTTGAATATACTTGATATATACTATTCAATTAAGAAAAATATGCCAATTTTTTAGATATGTTTTATATCATTCAAATATTTCTATATAATAAAAAAAAACTTAATACGTAAAATGTTCATATATAATTTCAGTAAATATTGTTGATAATATCAAAATTACTATTATAAAATGTTTATAGATAGTTGATATTTATGTTTTCTGCTACTAAGCATATTTTAGATAATATGTTTTATCAAAGAAGATGAAGAATTTTATTTTGTTTTTCAGAGATCTTTTATTTACTTATATAATTGAAAATATTGTTTAGTATTAATTTGTTAGAAAATATTAAGGTTATACGTTTAATTTAAATTATAAAAAAACTAATGCTAGAATCTAGGAACAGCTTGATTTTTTTTTGTGAAAAAAATATGTAATTACTAATTTGAAGTAAGGGTTATTAATTTGTGAGATAAAGTTACATGTTTAGGATGTTTTGTGAATTATGGTGTGTTTCCAAGCTTAAGGAATTCTATATATATTGTTTGGTTTGAGGGGGATAAGTTTAATAAAGACAAAACAGTCATTAAAACCCGTTTATTAAAATCAGAAACAGAATATATATCTTTAAATTATTTTGATATATATTTATTTTATTGTTAAAGGGTTAAAGGTAGTATATTCATTTTTTAAGTAAGTCACACGTGATTTGCAAAAGATATTGTATGTCAACTGCGGGGAACTGAACCTTTCGTTTACGTTTTGTATGTTAAATCAAATGTGATAGTTTTGAAAACAGAATATGGATATAATGTTAATAAGATTGATATTTGTTTGATGCTTGCTTTAAAATAGGTTAGGATTTTGGAAAGTTATTGATTTAAATTATGTACAAATTATTAGTTTATATTTGGTGCACTGGAAATACTTTTTATAATAACTAACCAAATAAAGTATTATAAATATATTTTGCATGTTTCAAAAAAATTTAAAAATATATATATATTTGCATACTTCCTCCGTTTTTAAATGACGTTTTAGGATTATGCACATATATTAAGAAACATTTAATTTTTAATCATTTTATATACAAAACATTATTAAGTGTTTACGTAACCATAATTCAACCAATAATAAAATAGAATGTATTATATCATTAGTCATTTGGTATTAATTAGTATTAAATTTTACAATGAAAACTGAAAACGTCAAATAATTTGGAACAAAAAAATTCCTCTAAAACGTCAATTATTAACGAACGGAGGGAGTATTATACAAACTATACAGTTGTTCATAAAATATATTTTGTAATATTTTGAATAACAATAGAAAATCAGACATAAATTTGCATATTATTTGAACCATATAATTGTCCATCAAAAATAGTTCGTAAATATTTTGAAGAACAATCGAAAAGCACACAAATGTTACAAAAAAAAAACAATCTATTAAAACAATACTTTTATGAGAAACAGTTCATGTATAAATCACATGCTTGAATAATCATGCTATATTTTGGTTGAGTTATCATGATATATATTGGATCGATTTTATGTGGTAAGTGTTACACTATTGGTATTGAATTTGATTTGGCGGACAATACTAAACTGATAAATAATTAGTTTAGAAACACGTTAGTTTTGGTTTAGTCTATAAATTAAGTGTAGCCGATTAATTAATATCCTAAAATCTTGATAATAAAAGGCAGTGGCATGTGATGGTAATTGTTGTGAAAAAATTAGGGTTAAGTACAAAATGTACTTTAGTTTTAATAGTTTAGATAATAAATCTAGAGAAAACAACGAACAAAATTATTTATGGGTTAATTTGCTAAATAACCAAAATGAAAGTAGAAATTAAATAGATAGCATTGATTTTTATGTTATTAATAAACTAATATTTTTTGGTATGTTTTTCTTCCGGTTATGCCTTCTCCAATTACAAGTAGCCGGTCAAAGTAAAAAAATACATGACGTGGTCAGTTGTAAAGCTCTACAATTAATTATTACATCACGTAATGTCACTAATATCACACATTTGTCTACCACATAAATATATATCTGGCTTTATATACCATATAGTCAAAATAGTATAGGATTCTAAATTAATTCACAGATTTTAAATACTAAAACTTATTCCAAACCCTAACCCCCAAAGTATTAAACCTAAACCTCATCCCTCCTTCTAAATACTAAATCCTAAATTCTAATTACGAAATCTTAAATCCAAATATAAACCTCAAAACCAATTACCAAAATCTAAAAATAAGGACATATTATATATTATTAAACTATACTATATAAATATAAATTATAGAACAGACTTTGACTTGTAAACTAGAAATTGATAAATAACGAATTTGTCAAAGAATCGATGGCGATAGTAGTACCAGTCGTACATATATAGGTAACTGAGTTGGAGTAACAAGAAGTATATATGTTTGGCAACATCAATGAAAAGTAGAGATTAAGTGTTATTCCATTTTTTTGTGAATGGTACAGAAATACAAGAAGGATTGCAGACGATTTAGTTTGGTAATTTGACTTCTGCTATCACTGATCAACGAAATAGTACTAATTTACAACCATTAAATAGAACAGAACATGAAAAAAGTTTATTATTTATTAACGAACATGACGAAAAAAAAATACTGAAATGGAAGGTCATGACTGATTGTTCATCTTTACAGAAAGAGTATGAGGAGAATAGATCGGAGATAGTATAATAACCTTACATAAATAGTTGCATTAAAGACCACATACTATACGATAATTTTCTTTCACCGCATATAGTATAGCTGACAAGTTCATCTTCTTCACATATTCCTTGTTTTCAGATATGTCGATACAACCATTTAGTGACCTGCAATAGTTATCCATCACCATACCATAGCAATGAAATATACCATAACAATTTAAAATAAATAACAAAAAAAAAAACTCCAAATTGATAACATTAAAAGAACTCAAATCAAATCAGAAAATGCGATGTTACCTTGTTGTCTTCTATGGTGTCATTTTCTCCTCTAAGCTCAATTTTGCAAGTCCATAACCTTTGTTAAGTTATGGGCCACAGAAATCATTATTCGTGCTTTAAGTGATTTTGCTCATAAAACGCGTCGTCTGATTTAGAGGACATGTGTCGACATGTGGGAAAGTGAATTAGTGACATTATAATATGATGTGTATTGAAGAGAAGAGAGTAGCCTTCTTCTTTATAGTATAAGATATGTATTTTGAGCCTTAGACATACAATTGAGGATAAAGTGGTTCACTAGTTACCTTCTTTCATGTGAATAATTTTCATTTTAGGTTCAGAAACCAACTGATCTAACATGTGTCGTAAGTGTTTGCTCTTTACCCCCTTGACCGCAGCCGCTAGGTTCGTTAGAATTATATTTTGTCCCCAGTTTTAAGAACATGTCCATTGAGGGATCAGAAGAAAAGTTCACACGATTTCCAGAAAAAATATTAAAATAACCTGATTCTGTTGAATCCGCGTCGCGTGAGCTCGCTATAGTAATCTGCGTCGCTATTAATTTTTTTTTTTTTTAAAAGTTCGTTAAAAAAATAAATTAAATAATTAAAACTGGAGTATAGGGAATCGAGCTTTGTGGTTCACCAATGCTCATTCTCTAAGAGCATCTCCAACCCCACTCCATATTTTACTGCAAAATGGAGTGGAGAATGGAGTAATGAAGAAACAAAAATCTTATTACTCCATATTTGGAGTAATCACTTTTTTGTTTCTTCATCACTCCATTTCCCACTCCATTTTGCAGTAAATTATGGAGTGGGGTTGGAGATGCTCTAACGACTTTGAAAAATTAGTTGGTGGAGGGAGGGACGACTAGCCCAATAGATATATCAGACATGCCATACACACTCGTTAATAATTAAGTGGAATGATTAAAACCCAACAGCTAACTACTTAATGGAAAATGGTGATTGATAGAGACAGAGAGTGGTCTGAAAAGTTTATTTAATTTTATATTTATAGGCTTGAAAAGTCTTGAGATCTCTCTATTTCACTCACTCTTTGGACCCGCCTTTAGAGGTAATTAATTACTATTAACTTGAGTGTTTTGCTCATGTAATAAAGATCTCCTTTTCTCTTTCATCTTTTTCCATAGTTTGGCTTTTTCGTTTTTGTTGGCTTCTGGGTTTAAGCCTTTTTCGCAGACAAACCTGCTCCCACTGCTATTATTCATTCCTTTTTAGGTCATTATTATCTGCAGGACTATCTCACTTACCAAATGTTTGAACTATTCTACTGCTTAAATGGTGTGTACTATCTCCTTAAGATCTCAGTTTATCTTTTCCTCTTTTCAGGGTCTTCTTCTCAAGTATGAACTGATTGATATACTCTCTCACAGAAGTGGAAAAAATATTTTTTGCACCTCACTATACTGCTAACCTCCCCCCCCCCCCTTTTTGACTTTTATTAAGTACAGATTTATTATTTGTTTCTAGGAAAGTAGTTTAGATCTTTCTTACAGATTTAGTAGGGATTAATAATTGGTTCTCTTGATAATCTTCTGGTGTAAATCCATTGACTTTGTTACACATCTCTGCTTCAAGAACTTAGTGTTCATATTCCATATTTCTCCTCAAAAACTAAGTGCCAGAGCCAGAGTTTCTTAAACCCTTTGACCTTAAGTTCATTTTGTGTTACATTGTTACATCCATAGTGTTCTTACTCTTGTTTTTGGGGATATTTTTAGAGCCTTGGATGCTAGTAGCATTGGAATGACAGAGCCAAGGAGTAGCAATGGAGGAAGAGATGTTGTTATCAATGTTTCAGGTGAGGAAGCATCAAAGGTTTCTTCAAAGATGGCTTCACCAGAATCTGAGAAAGCAATACCCATCAATAAAACCTCCTCTCCTGAAATCTCTAAGCTTGTTGGTAGTCCTAACAAGCCTCCTAGATCTCCAAATCCAAGCTATGATGGTCTAACTCAAAGAAAATCTTTTGCAAGGTCGGTTTACTCCAAACCCAAGTCCCGGTTTGTGGAACCATCTCTTCCTGTAGACACAAGTACACTAGAGGAGGAAGTCAAGGAACAACTTGGTGCTCGTTTCTCTTTCAGTAGAGCTTCTCCAAACAACAGATCAACAAGGAGTGTTGGCTCAACAACACCGTTAACACCAAGCAAAGCTGTTGAGGCTGAGAAAGATGAAGATGAAGAAATCTACAAGAAGGTGAAGCTGAGCAAAGAGATGCGCAGAAAGATAAGTGCATTGGCCTTGTTAGAGCTAGCTTTCTTTGTGGTGATTTTAAGCTCTTTGGTTGCTAGTTTAACCATTGATGTTGTGAAACGTCGTAACATATGGGGGCTACAAGTGTGGAAATGGTGTGTGCTTGTGATGGTTATCTTCAGTGGAATGCTGGTGACGAATTGGTTCATGCGTGTGGTTGTGTTCCTCATAGAAACAAACTTTCTTTTGAGGAGGAAAGTGTTGTACTTCGTGCATGGCTTGAAGAAGAGCGTCCAAGTCTTTATATGGCTTAGCTTGATACTCATTGCTTGGGTGTTTCTCTTCAACCACGACGTGGATCGGTCCCATGCAGCCACAAAGATCCTCAACGCTATAACCAGAACACTTATCTCCCTTCTCACAGGATCATTCCTTTGGCTGGTGAAAACACTCTTGTTAAAGATCCTAGCAGCGAGTTTCAACGTTGTTAACTTCTTTGATAGGATTCAAGATTCTGTTTTCCACCAGTACGTTCTGCAAACTCTCTCTGGCCCTCCGCTTATCGAGGAGGCAGAGAGGGTGGGGCGTGAGCCAAGAACAGGGCATTTGAGTTTCGCAAGCGTGGTGAAAAAAGGAGAGGTTAAAGAGAGGAAAGTGATTGATATGGGGAAAGTTCACAAGATGAAGCGAGAGAAAGTTTCTGCGTGGACAATGAAGGTTTTAGTGGAAGCTGTTAGAACTTCAGGTCTGTCTACAATCTCTGACACGTTGGATGAACAAGCACATGGAGATGGGAAAGAGCAAGCTGATAGAGGTGAGATTACTAGTGAGATGGAGGCTTTGGCTGCTGCTTATCATGTCTTTAGAAATGTTGCTCAGCCTTGCTTCAGGTAAAAGAGAATAACAATTTTTTTTTTCACATGTTTTAGAAATGTTGTTCAATATTCTCTAATGGTTATTGTTTCAGTTACATAGAGGAAGAAGATTTGCTTAGGTTCATGATTAAAGAAGAGGTTGATCTTGTGTTTCCTTTGTTTGACGGTGCTGCTGAGACCGGGAGAATCACCAGAAAAGCTTTCACAGAATGGGTGGTAAGTCTACTCAAAAACACTTTCATGCTCTCTTATTCTTAGTGTTTCTTGATTTACGAATGTTCAAAAAATCACTAGGCGGTAATTAGACGTTTTAAAGTGGATTAGACGCTAATTAGAAAGTAACTAGACGTTTTAAAAAGAGTATTTGCATCCCATATACAAACTAAACCCCTAAATTAACTATCTACCCTTTTTCTCTCTTATCTCTCCTCCCCCCCTCTCACTATTTTTCCCCCAAAACCATGGCATATTGCTAATATCTAAGTTCTTTATGGATTATAGGCCAATTCACCCTTTTAAAAATCGCTAGGCGGTAATTAGAGGTTTTAAAGTGGATTATTGATCGCGTAAACCAATTTTTAGAGCATTGTGTGTTGCTATTTGATCAGGTTAAGGTGTACACTAGCAGGAAAGCTCTAGCACATTCCTTAAACGACACGAAAACAGCGGTCAAGCAGTTAAACAAACTTGTGACAGCGATCTTGATAGTGATTACTGTAGTCATCTGGCTGCTGCTTTTAGAAGTAGCAACCACTAAGGTTTTGCTGTTCTTCTCCACTCAACTAGTGGCACTAGCTTTTATAATCGGAAGCACTTGCAAGAATCTCTTTGAATCCATTGTGTTTGTCTTCGTTATGCATCCGTATGATGTTGGTGATCGCTGCGTTGTCGACGGTGTCCCGGTAAAAACTCACCACCAAAGAACCGTTTCATTTATATACTATATGATCTTTGTAGTTCATTTCACATTCTTGTGGCTCTTTTCAGATGCTGGTTGAAGAAATGAATCTGTTATCGACTGTGTTCTTGAAGCTTGACAACGAGAAAGTGTATTATCCCAACTCTGTTTTGGCCACTAAACCGATAAGTAATTACTTCAGAAGTCCAGATATGGGAGAGACAGTGGAGTTCTCTATATCATTTTCAACACCAGTCTCAAAGATTGCACATCTCAAAGAAAGAATCGCTGCGTAAGTACCACCTTTCACTCATTTTAAAACTGTTGTAGATCAAATCTTGAAAGAGTTCTTGATTTGGTTTGTTGTGTGGAAACAAATCAGTTACTTGGAGCAGAATCCGCAGCATTGGTCACCGATACACACGGTGGTGGTTAAGCAAATAGAGGACATGAACAAGCTGAAGATGGCTCTATACAGCAACCACACTATCACGTTTCAGGAATACAGAGAGAGGAATATTAGAAGAACTGAACAGACTTTGGCTATTAAGAAAATGTTGGAGGATCTTCACATTGATTACACTCTCCTTCCTCAACAAGTTCATCTCACCAAGCTAGACAAAAATTGAAGAAGAAAAAAACGGTTTGGTTTTTTACTAAACCGTCTATTTGTGATATTATTATCAAATGTTGTTGGTGATGTTTTATTCACACTTTTAGATTAGAAGATGAAACCAATTTTCCATGTTTTATTGAAATGGACGTTGTTACAAATCTATTTCAACATTTTTACTTGGCAACACATTTACAAATCTTTTTAAATGGCTATAGTCTAAATGATATCTAACCAATGCTTTTGACATCGACTCATAAAGACTTATGATTACCAATGAAAATATTATTCGTATAAAACACTGCTTTTATTTAAAAAAAAAAAGATAGGAATTATGACGAAAGCGTAGTTTGTTAATGACAATTTGCTCAAAATAAAATTTGATGACATTAAAATCGAAATATCTCCAACTAATGATAGTAGTAACTAAGAATTTGTTTTGATTGATTTCACCATAAATTGTTTTCGGTTAAATTTAACCATGTAGCGTTCTGCACTAAAAGCAAGTTTTTAAATCATTTATTTTAAAATAATACCACAAGTTGTAAAAAATATATTTTAATAATTTTATCAAATTAAAATGGTAAAATAATTAATTTTATCAATTAAAAATATATAACATATTTCTAAAACTTTGAAACTAAAATATTTTTGTATTTTATATGATATATAGTTTAATTTAAATGATATTAAAATAATTTGAATATCTATTAAAGGAAACTTCATACTCATATGAGTTTTTATTTTTTTATAGAAATAAATAAATAAATTACAAATTTCATTTTTAACAGTTTTAATTTTTTAGTTTTGAAAAAAAAAAAATAACATATATGAATATTTTTTATTATATGGTTAATGTGAATGTTTAATTTTTTTTAATAATATAAAATTAAATAGTCAGATATAGGTCAGAACAACAAAGTTTCAGCAACATGGACATGATTCAAAAGATATTCTCAAATTGAAAGAAACTGAATCTTTACTTTAGGTTAAGACACAACTTACTCTTATAAAAGGTCACTCACTCTACGGAGGTAGCGGTAACAAGCTTGCCCATCATATTTGAGTGATGGAGTTTTACGAATGGCTCATAGAAAATCAGGATAATTATTTGGGATAAAATTGGTTTAATATGCTAGAGGGCTTCGATTAACTGCTAGGGGCAAGGAACACAAGAGCCACTATTTCATCCCCTTCATTCAAATATAAAAACACTCATTTTTGTAATGGAATATATGAGAAATTTACGCTAATTTCATGTCATATTTACTATGGATTATTCTCAGTTGATGAAGGTAGTTTTGTTGGGATACAATCCAAGTCCCACATCGGAAGTTTAGACAGAAATTGTCTAATATATAAGTAGTGTCCAACTCTGATTAGTATGAGGCCTTTTGGGAAGGAACCCAAAAACAAATCCGTGCGGGCTTTGTCTCTTGGGCCCAAAGCGGATAATATCATACTATGGACAGAGTTGGACATGGGCTTTAGAAAAGCACCACAGTGGTATCAGAGCCTAGGTTGGAAAAAGTGGACCTAGAAAAAGTGGGTTGGGCCTGCATGTTCGTTGTGGGAGGAAGTTCCTCAAAGTGACTTTACGATTAAGGGGTGCCGGAGGCTTGTGTCCAAATCTTCTTAAGGGTTAAGTGAAGAGTTCTGTTGGTGAGTACAGCGGTACAAGATGGTACCAGGTTTCGCAAGGAGGTTGAAGTCCAAGGAGTTATGTGGTCCTTGGTTTGAGGGGGAGATTGTTGGGATACAATCCAAGTCCCACATCGGAAGTTTAGACAGAAAGTGTCTAATATATAAGTAGTGTCCAACTCTGATTAGTATGAGGCCTTTTGGGAAGGAACCCAAAAACAAATCCGTGCGGGCTTTGTCTCTTGGGCCCAAAACGGACAATATCATACTATGGACAGAGTTGGACATGGGCTTTAGAAAAGCACCACAAGTTTTGAAACTAGAAGAAAGATCTGATTTTGTAAATTATTTAAAAAATATCAAGAGATTCAAATTAAGTTTCAACTATTCAGAGTTTATTCATATACCCGAGTTTATTCATATACCCTGAACACAAAATACAAGGACACCCAGTCTTACATCCAGTGCCATGAACCAACCATCTTGAAATAATTGTTTTGTATAGATTACTAACTAATTTTATGATTCTTTTAATAAGAATTATAGTGTATGCTTAAATTGCTCAGTATATTTTTCTAAAGATTTGAAAAAATATTTCTAATGATGTCACATGACATAATTCACATGTTATAATGTTTTCTAATTAAATAAGAGATTAATTTGAACATATATTTAGATTATATTAATAGATGCATATATAAATCTTCTATGCATGATTAATTACATATTGATCATCTGGCCATCTTTTGAACTTCATATCATGCTCGAGGGACACGTCGCTTTGGTCATAGTCATACAAAAATATGCAGATCGTGCTAATCACTCCTATAGAACCTTTCATGTTTCTTTAATGGCACCTATAGAATATTATTAGCTCCTCATTTAATTAATCTGTTAAGTATAAGTTTGCTCGATCAATAGCAACAAACTCATAGTTAACATATATATATAGATTAGCGATCCATATATAGAGGCATATACTATGCACAACATTATATTTTAAATTACATCACTATTTAAACATTTAATATCCTCCAGTATTGACGAAACTAACATTGAGCTTTTAAACAATTGCTTTAAGAAGTTTCAAGAATTTGTATATATATCCAAAAAAAGAGATTTTGAGTTTCAAGGTTTCACTAGCAATAATACTTTGTTAATAATTAACAAGAGCATTATCATCCTTACAAGTCACATGTAGTATCGATTCAGTATGTGTATGTATCTGTATACAATTATTCGTGTATCCGTCATCCAATAATCTCAATAGAGCAGAATTTGCTTAATCTGTTACGTATTATGTGCAATCATTAGGAGTTAGAGGGAGTATAGTTGTATGCAAATACATTGCACGATCTTTGTTTAACGATCGTACTTCGTTAACTATACATAGTTGTTTATTTGGCAATAAGAAATGAGCTTTCTTTGGCGGTATAGTTTAATTAATCGGCCGCGTAACTAAATAGGAATACGCTTTGATATATTCATCGAACTCTTTCTTATGTTTGACTAGCTAGTTTTGTATATATATATGGCAAAAGTAGCATTTGTGAAGAAGACGCAGAAAGCAACCATATATGTATATATAACTCTTGTGTTACAAAAAAAATGTATATATAACTCTTCTGACAAATTCAATGACAAATCAATTATAATTTCAGTTATAGTGTTAAGATAAAGACTATTAGCAGGACTGCAGGAGCAGCAAGATACAAGAATTATAGAAAATGAGACATGCATGGATTTGGAGTTTGAATTGTGAAGTTTAATTGTTCGTTTTCTAAACAATCATGTCTTATAAATTTGATTAAGTAGCAACATGTAGCTATAACTTTAGTTTTATAGTCAACATCTTCTAATATTTAACTTTATGATTTTTATCATCAACGAGATGATTTTACATTCATAAATTTTATATTAATTCGTAAAATACATATATAATTCAAACTGAAATTTAAGGTTTTGATGTTTTTTCGTATAGCCAGTTCAACTTGGTGCTTAAAAACTTATGGTTGATTAGTCTTCTAATTTTTTTTTCTTCACCTTCATTCCAGAGAAAATGTACTTACATAAGATACAAATTTAGATTTCTATAGGCTAAGCAAGTATAACTTTAAAATTCAAAAATTCTTCACACCACCAAAAATTTCGAATCTAAGATATTACATTGATATCAGCAAAATATCGTCTAAAATCACACTACATGATAAAGCTAACATTGCAGAGCAATATTTAAACTAAAAGGAACCAAACTCAATAATAAAGATAAATCAAAATGACTTGACATGGACAGAGAATGGGCCATGCGTACGTGCGACCGTGCGTGTGATATGTATGTTTTTTATTGTTAAGAGAAGTAATGGAGAAGATTGTGATCGAAACTTTTAAAGATGATCAAAGTGGAAAAGAGAAATAAAGCAAAAGCTCTCCACTTTCTCTATTCCCATGGAAGCATCAGTACTTCATGTTCATCCATCTCTACAAATCCTCTCACTTTATTTCAAAACTACACTTTCTTTAATTTTATTCAATTTTATTGAGCTTTAATATGTCCATCACGATCTGCTTCAATCACCCTTTGCTTCTCATTTGGATATCGAATTTCTCGGATACTGCCTTCTTTCTTTGCTTTTTATACACAACAAACACTTTCATATATGATTGATTCCATGTTTTATTAACTAACACGCTTTATATATTATACATATATGCGTGTGGTACTTTACAGACACTTTTATTTGTAGCTTATATAAAACAAATTAAAGGCAAGAAGTTAGTAAAGAGTGGTCGTTTCAATCATTTTGATATTTATATGTAAACTTTATACTCTTTAGTTTCTAAAAATCCATTTAGTTATTTAATATTGTTTAACACAAACAGAAATAGATACATATAGTTATTAATATAACAATATCTTTTACGAGCTTCCACATACTAAATTTTTTTTTTTTTAATTCGAAAGATTATCTTCTTGTAACAAAATACCAAAACTACTTTGATATAGAAGATACCATGCATACTACTCTGGTATAGTGACTAGAAATGTTAATATTTAAGCATTTATAAAGTCCAAAAGATATGTCTATATAGACACTTATTTAAGAGACTTTCTAAACAAAACAAACAGGAGAGATAAACGTACATTATACACGAAGTACTTGAATGTGAATCAATGTAGCAGCGTGTATCATTCTGAAACACTAATCTGTTGCTATATGCACATCATAATTTTTGAATGGTGACCAATTATTTTGTAGTTGTGCTACTCTAAATTACCATTTAACAACATGACTAAAGATGTCAAGATTAAAGCAGTCGCACGTATTGTGACTAAAGAGGTGAAAAATTAGGTTCACATTTAAAAGTGTTTGCATTCATGAAAATTTGAGTTTAAAGCATTTGTATTGAAAGCATGTGATAGATCCATAGAAAAAGAGAAAGTTGGTAGCTTGTTTTTTTTTTTCCTTTCCTTTGGGATCACCAACTACTTTATCAATGATCATATAATCCTCCACAAATCATTTTGCTTTGCACGTAACGGATCCCTCTCGACAATATCATTGTCAAAAATACTCTACTTTTACAATGGCTATTCTGTTTCAATATTTAGATATCAAGTTGAGCTGTTGTCAAGGTATTTCCATCTAACGGTTTTTCATTGAAGTATATCTCAACTACAATATGGTCATCATGATTCATGGGCCATAACTGCATGTGAAATTCAGCATGGAGCGAGATAACCCCCCATCTTTGGCAAATGAACCGAACAAACGCATATGAACTATATCTAGATCTAACACTTTTGTCTGGTCGAAAAATAGTAGTTAATATATTTTTCCCTTTTCAATATATATATCTTTTACTTTTAAATAATAAAACAATTTAAAACGTAAAAAATACGTTATGAGAAATATGATCGGATCATTTTTTTTTTAATTAACGTGGAAGGTAGCAGAAATTTTACAAGAGGAACAATTGTTTGAGAAAATACATTATTTAAATTTCCAATACATTAATTAATGGTAAATTGTAAATTGTAAACTTTAAAAATATAACTATATTGGTTAAAGGTTCTTAGAAACAACTAAGTGTAAAAAAGAATGTATTAACAATCAAAATTCAATATGATAAATGAGTATGTGTAACAATTATAAAATTCGTATATTTTTGAAATAGATGGGGTAATATCTTAGCTTTTGAAATCAACGGATACACGTTTTGCCTTAATTTTACCAAAAGGTTTACAACCACCTCTTTTTGGATCAAAGTTTTACAAACATAACACTGACATATAGTTACAAAATCAAACACATGTGAAGAATCACATGATATAAAACATTAAGAAAACAAAAGCCTAAATAAAAGTAACAAAACAAAGAAAGAAAAAAAAAGCTTCACAAGATCAAACCAGCAAAAGTGGTTTCATACACAGGAAGTTCGTCTCCATACAGATTAAGATGATGATGATTCCCACCTAAATCCAGCTCAAACAAATCCGAACTTGAATCACTCGCAACATCATCATCTTCATATTCCTCGAAATCATTATTCTTAACCAAACTGTTTTCACGAGTCTTGTGATAATCTCTCAGAAACTCTCTAGCAATCTCCTCCACTGATCTCCTCCCTCCCTCTTCCACATTCTTCTTCACCGGCTTTCTTACATAACCGTTGCTCAGATAATCCTCTTCTTCTTCTTCTTCTCCCGTGACGATCACATTAACCGGAGAAAACCTAACGCTCCGTTTGATACGTTCAGATGATTTCTCAGAGCTTTTGTTCAAACAAGACCTGGAGAAGGAAGAAGCTGAAGAACACGTTGGTTTCCTAGAGTCGACGTCGTCATAGCTAGTCTTCCTCGGATAACTCTTAACCGCCGAGGAAGATTGTTTAGGTTTAGAACCGTTGTTACTGAACAGAGAGTTGATGAAGTTAACGATACGTACACCAGGTGAAGCTGGAGTTTTGAGCTTCTTCTGATCACTAGTGAATCTCCTAGTTCTAGTATTCTCCCAATCCTCATCGTATCTCGTGATCTTGGGAGCGTCGGAGGCGTAATCGTGGGAAACACGGGTTGCTCTGTTTTGGTGAAACAGAGCTTTATTGTTCTCCTCTGTTTTTCTTGGTTTTGTCTTGGAAGGACCAAAACATAAGGGTCTTGAAGACGTTGTCTTCTTGGGGTGAGTTAGTTCGGTGTCGGAAGATGAGAAGATGCTGGAGTTGGAGTCGGAGGAAGAGGACATGGAGCCGAATAGCCGATCTCTTCGTTTGGTTACGCTGATGCTCTGTTTCTTGGTGGTGTTGAGTGAGGTTAGAAAAGGTTGGGTTTTGTGGGTTTTGGGATCGATGGAGTTGTAGATTTCATCGAGGAGTGTGGAGGAGAAGGACGGGTTTCTAGATTGGGTTTTGGATCTATGCATGATTTGGACAAAAGAAGGGAGTTTTAGAAGAAGAAGAAGAAGAAGAGACAAAAGAAGAAAGAGTTTTATGTCTGTTTTGGTGTTTGTTTTCTAGAGGAAGACGACGAATGAGAGACATGAGAGGGAGAGAGGCTACTTTATATATAAATGGCTATCTCGGCGCGTGTTGTTCACGTATGGTTTACCAGATGGACCACCGCACAAGTGCATTCTTCAAAAAAAAAAATTATTATGTGTGCATGTACCTAAAGTATTTTGTGTCCTGTGAAATCGTTTTATGTCATTTTCCTCATAATGTAAAGAAACTTACAATCATCTATATTACAAAGATAACATATGCTTTGGAAGCATTTGCTATAGTAGCTGTTTGCCTGATTCAAAATGTACATTTATAATAAACATAACAAATATTATTAAAATGTCCTAAGACTTGAAAGATTTATGTACTAATATTTAAGTGTGTTATAATCTTTTCATTTTTGAGTTTGCTTTGGATGTGAATTAGACATACTACTAATATGATATGTGAATCCAGCTTCAATTTCTCTTGATTGGAGCTCATTTTTGGATTTCAACTCCCATAAATTTCATGTTTCAGATGTCTAATCATGAACGTTCAAAAGTATATTTGAAGGTCTCATTTTAGGACTTGAAAAATTTATGCACTAATATATAAGTGTGACATTCTCCTACTCTGAGATATTATTTAGGTGTGAATTAGATCCCTTTTTGACAGAAGAACTAGATCTAATTTTTTATAATGGATTTCCTAAATTGACTATAAAGATCTCAAATGTATGTGTGGGTTCTGGAAAAGGATGTGATTTATAATCAAGTAAGTTCTGGATTGGTTAAAATTGCTATATGTTTAGCTATAAGCAAAGTCTCTCCAACACTCACATATGCCCATTGGGTTGTCTAGACAAAGACATGTTAAGGAACATTACTTGTTTTCCGTCTTTTTCAGGTCTCACATGCTTCCTTTC